GCTCAGGATCCATGTAAGTATTGTCTTATCTGACATTAAAATTGACCAATTGGGTCAAAGATTGTGGTTCTTCCAACACCAAACTCCTCAGTCAGACACTTCACACTTACACTGTTGTCAATTTTTTTTAACAACTTGACTTTTGGTGATATAGATAAACATAAATGCTTTATCTTTTTTTTTTGCACTATTACCCACAGGCCTTTTCGACATTTTCAGCAATTGATGACAGGCTCAGACGATGACAGGAACTAATGATGCTAATAGTAATGACAGATTCAGACGACGACAGGAACTAGTGTTGATAATGGTAATGACAGACTCAGACGTTCCAAAATGAGCTTTGGTGGCTGTCTCAAAAACAGCTTAGAGGTTCAGTTAAGTTCACCATCGTCCCTGTCTCTGCCTGTTGCAGTGCTCAGCAAAGCAAGTTTTGGTGATTCTCTCAGGCTGGAACCCATAAAGACTAGGAGAGAATTAGTATTGTATTTGGACCTTGAACCTGTTATGTACCATTCTCTCAAGGACTTTAAACTTTTTAGATGTTAAGAGATGGACCTAAACTTGTGAGAGTTGGTTTTGGAATGAACATGATGAGAAAATGTCGAATGGTCAGGCAGGACCGTCCAGTAAATTGAACTGATATAAATAAAGGAGACGGTTGTTGGGCAACTCGTTGGGAAGTCTAGGTTATGCAGTCTTCTCCAGGTGAGTTGGCTTGACTTTCTTTTTTTCAATGCAGTTTGAAGTTCAAAGAAATAGGGTAGTTGATGAGTGGAACAGTCTGCCTAGTCGGGTGATTGAAGCTAAAACCTTGGGTAGTTTCAAGTTTAGGTTGCATAAATACATGAGAGGGGTTGAATTTGAGGGAGACTTGCACATGAGTTAATAGATTTATCAGAGCTTATTATTAGGGTAGGCCAAAAGGCCTACAACAGTGTTCCTCCTTTCTTATGTTCTTATGTCATCTACACCTATTGTCACACAAAAAGTAGTGAGTCTGAGCTTCCTACAGATACCATTGTTTGTATTTGCCAAGTAAAACTGGGATGGGATGACGCATGTGTTCTCGTTGGTGGAGAGCCGAGAGGCCATGATTAGAAAGTTAAGTGTAACATGGTGGTGGTCGAAGTCGAATTATGAACAGAGCTTTGGTAAGATGGGAACGGAAGAAGGATGGGTAAGGATGGCAATATGGGAAAAAGGTGGGTGGGGAAAGGGAGGTGGGATAATAAAGACCAGTGGCCTGACCACTTTGGTGCATTTTAATACAAGTGCATATGTGTGTGTGTAGTGTTATTCATGAATTCATAAAATTCATAAGGGTATAATACTCTACCCATCAGCTTCACAGTTATAGTAGATGTATAACTGCATGACACTGAGTTGGCAGGGGGTATATTTTTTTGCAGATGCTTTTTTTCTGATTGCAGGGCGTAGGTTGGAGATAATGGTAGCAGGGCACTTGATATAGGTCGGCTGCTTTCTGAAGTTACTGGTTGGCTCAGCTGCTTCTGAGGTGGTGTCCCGCCGTAGTAGGTTTGCAGATGTTATATGGTTAGATGTAAGTGTTAAATAGTTAAAAATGGTCTCCATAAATTAGGGTGGTTTTGTCCTTACTCGCCAGAAGCTGGCGAATCTTGCTCCAGAACTTTTCAGGTCGATGTTTGCATTGCTTGAAGAAGAAATTTCCATATTTCACTTTTATGTTGTGTGATTAGGGTAATTAACTCCCTTCTCAACCTCTGCAGTATAGCCAATGTGGGCTGTGTCGTTTGGTGGTGCCTTCTACACTGCTTGATAATTTTTCATGCAGTCCCTAATTTCCCTGGTTGATTTATACTGCTGATAGATTTTTGATGTACATATTTAATTCACAACATGCATGAGTGGCCTCTAAGATTTTCATGGAAGGAGCTGATTGCCTCGTCATTTGCAGTTAATACCTGGTTCTCTAGCGAAACAGTACGGTCATTGCCTAAGTAGTCCCTGAAGGGGTCAAATCCTAGAGTTTTTAGGTTGGGTTTCGGAGAAGTGGGTACTTGAAATGGCGATGTCTGTAATGTTATAGCAGGGATATGGTCTGATTCGACTTTTCCACCAGGAAAGACTCAGCAGTGATATAGGTCACAATTTCTGTTGGTTAAGACTATGTCAGGTGTCCCCGGATGAGGACCGACAAATGACTTGAAGAATGGACCTTGGAATGATAGATTTCTTGCTGTCATTATATTGAATAGCTGTTTTCCCTTTTGGTCACCTAGTGGACGTGCGGCGCCGCAGTTGAAGAGAGAGGGGTGATGGGCATTAAAATCTCCTGCCAGGGTTATTGGAACATTTCTACTCAGTATCTGGTGTAGCGTTATGGACTCTGTTAGCTGTCTTGAAGGAAAATATCCAGTTCCAACTGTTAACCGACCATATGAGGTCGTCCGTTCTATTGCTATAATGTTGTCTTCGTCAATGTAAATGTTACGAAATGCATATCCTAGTTTCAATAGGACGGCCACCGCACTAAAGAGCCATCTCGATTTCTCGTTAGTAGAGTAACCACGTATCTTTACATGTTGATCTGGTCTGGCAGCTGTCTCATTCGGAAGGATGATGTCAGGATTGTGGTTGCATAGTTCAATTTCTAGAGGATAGCGGTTGTTAAAGAAATGTTGAATGTTAATTTGTAAAATTGTGATCCCCATTATTTCGTGTAATTTGCGTTTTTGCTGCGTACAGAGAGTTGGTGTCTGAAACTATAGCAGCAAGGTGTGTGCAAGCTCTCCCTACTCGACTCGTCAAGGGGAGGGTTGTAGTCCTGAGTGGTTTCCTGTGTACTGGGTATTTTATCCATCACTGCTGCTAGTGAAATTAAATGATGAGCCAGACTCTTCTTCTAACAACTGTGGCATGTCAAATGCTTCGTTTACAACACGTACTGCCTCATTATTCACAGCCTCAGTCACCATATTCATACCATTGACGAGAAGAGACAGTGGGGGCTAGATGTGGAAGTGTACTACTCCACTTGGGGTATCATTGAAAACTAATTGGACTTCTGGATCAGCTTCTACAGCGGCAGATTGTGCCTCATTGTCTGGTGCAAGTTCAGGTGCAGTTATTAACTCACTGGTCTGAGTTGTTTCAGCTGGGTCGTCCACTATGGGTGAGCCTTGCTTGTGTGATGAGGTTTGATTATATTTGGCTGCTGAGGAGGGCACATACTTCCTGTCTTGAGGGGGGGCCTGGTTCATTACTGAGTTCACATTATCTGGGATGATTAAGGACCTGGTTCCATTTGCTACTAACAAGTCATTTAAAATAGAGGAGAAGAGCTTGGCATTGCTACCTGCGATCTCCTTGGTCAACATGAACATCAATGTCCCTCTCATAACATCTACCTCAGAGAACCAGGGGAACATAGGGTTAAGAAGATGGTCCTTGGACTTGGTGCATGTTGGGGTTAGGGTGGGGCGCTGCAGGAGGGGCAGAATTTCAAGCATTATAGTTGATAGAGGTGGCAGTAGGAATCCCACCAGATCCAGGTAGATTAGGGAAGGAGTCCTGGGACATCGTTGGAGGTGCTTGGGGAGTGGCTTTCTTGGAGTTCTGTTTCTTACCATCCAGAATTTGCTGGATTGTAGATTTCCTGACAGGGCATCTTGGGGAGACAGCGTGGTGTTTCCCTTTACAAAGAGTACACTTGGGGTTGTTCCTGTTAGGGCTTTCCCTGAAAATATGCTCACCGGAGCAGATACTGCAAATCGTTTTTTGGCTGCTACATTGAGTGACACTGTCAGACCTGATGTACATCTGGTTCCAAAGCATTTCATTCCATTTTGACAGATGATTTTGGCTCCTTCCGGTGTCTCTAAGATTAATTTTAGTGTTTGTTGGGTGTTTGAACTTTTGGCAAACTTATATGCCATGAGAACCGTGAACTCGGAGTTTTCTTGATTAATTTCCTCAACAAGTTCCTCAGCAGTGCAGTCTTTCATGATACTGTTGATTCTGGCATGATGTCCAGCAAGGTACAGCTGACACATAAGATATTCTGTAAAAAAGAACTTTCCTATGTGTCATTCTTATTCCTACTTGGCTGACTTATGAAGGTCAACCCCTAAGATATCCTACCCTCGAGGAGTGAGAGAGACGGCGTCCAAGGCAGTGATCGACCAGAGTTTAATACCGGACGGGCGACTGGATGGTCACCTTGCCTTGTTTTAAGTCACCAGAGGCGATGTTGTCGAAAATGAAGAAGACAGGAGAAGTAGAAGGATAGCAGTGTAAGTAGTGTGTGGGTGGTTAGGTTAATGTATTGGTTGGGGTATTATGGGGGGTTAGGATGGGGTAGGATGAGGTGGTGGGATGGTGAAGGAGTAATGGGGAAAGAGGGGAACTAGCAAGCTAGTCACCGCCTTACCCTCTTGATGGGATGGGGGTCGAAGTGACAGCAAGTTTCCTTTGAGCTCTGAACAATCTGTTACTCAGGATAACCCAAAAATTGTAACTTTGGGTCTCGGTGCTCAGAGTAAATACGCCGATGTCCTCTCGCCACGCCATCCTCTCGCCACGCCATCCTCTCGCCATCCTCTCGCCGCGCCGTCCTCTCGTCCACTCACCTCAGGTGCCACACTCACCTCAGGTGCCACACTCACCTCAGGTGCCACACTCACCTCAGGTGCCACACTCACCTCAGGTGCCACACTCACCTCAGGTGCCACACTCACTTCAGGTGCCACACTCACCTCAGGTGCAACACTCACCTCAGGCACCACACTCACCTCAAGTGCCACACCCACCTCAGGTGCCACAGTCACCTCAGGTGTTTACCTGGATATTATCTGTAACCGTTTTCGAGGTCAAGACAGCCACGACCCGGTGTCAGATCAATCCTCCGAGTTGTTGGCCTGATCCGTCATGTTGTTCGTGCTAGCTGTACGTAGTCAAATGTAACGAATGCTTATGATGTTTATTCCTTATTTTCACTGGAATCTTCTTATCACCAGACAACAATGCCGGTCGACCTGCACTACATGTTGCCCTCCGCACCCTGCCGAGCTTCCATGCTGACAGCCAAGGCTGTGGGACTGGAACTCAACCTCAAGCATCTTGATGTGTTCGCCAGTGAGCAGATGAAGCCCGAGTTTTTAGCCATAAACCCTGAGCACGTCATTCCTACCTTGGTCGACGGGGACTTTGTTCTTTGGGAAAGGTATAATATGTATAAATTCTAAATATATTGAAATGCTTGCTACCTATCTGTACTTGTTCGTGACTAGATCATGATGCACGAGAGACCTAATAAAAGTCTAGTTTTATTTCCAGTTAGTGAGTTAAATGTGAACTGTTTCAGCCCTAAATTGACTTTTATTCATCTTGTATATATTAAAACTTGGTGCAAACCATTAGCAAATAATCTATTTATTGATTTCTTGCATTAGTCTATTTATTGATTACCCTGTAGTATATAAGATCTGACAAAATTATTTGTATCAGTCGCGTCATCTGTACCTACCTGGCCTCCAAGTATGGTAAGGACGACTCCCTGTACCCCAGTGACCTCCAGACCCGAGCCAAGGTTGATAGGCTCCTCTACTTCGACATGGGAACACTTTTCCATCGCTTTGGTGAATATGTGGTGAGTACCGATGATGTCTTCAGCATTCAACTCGTACATCTGAAAATTAAGGATTTTTTTACAGTATATAAATAAGTTTTTGTCTATGCGCTCACTTGTCAGAATTACTCCCTTAAGACAGATATGTATTACGCTGAGAGCATAGTGTATTATCTATCTTACTGAGTGTTTTTTGATGGCTTTGCTGATAAACTGTAGCAACAAGGATTGGTGAGAGAAGTGTTGTATAAAAACGTCGAAAGTTAGTTGCATAAGTGGACACAAATGCAACGTTCAGAATACTTTATGTTCAGAATAAGTTTCACCTGCCTGGATGTTAGTTAAGAGAAGGTTCCCTGTCAGCAAAACGTCTTATAAAAAATAAAATATTCAGAACGTTGCATATTTGTTCATGAACCTATTTAATGGCTCATATTTTTTGTATTTAAGTTAGCTACACCACATTGTGTACCCATCTAGCATACAGGACGATGAATTAGACATGTGTGCAACATTTAGGTATCTTTACTTTGTAGACGTTTCGCCATCCAGTAGTTTTATCGATACAATACATGGACATAATATGAAGACTAGAAATATATACAGAAGACAGTGGAAGGCGAGGTAATCCGTCCCTCAGCTTAGTAGCAAGTGATGAGTACCGTAGTCTTGAACAATGCTAAGCACACGCAGGAAGATTGACGTTTATATACTGGTGTCAGATGAAGTGCAGTGGACGAAGGCACTGTTACTGCTACTAGGCTGATGGACTTATTACTTCGTTTTCTACTATTTTCTGTGTAGATTTCTACAACCTTCAAATTATGTCCATGTATTGTATTGATAAGGCCACTGGATGGCGAAATATCTACAAAATAAAGATGCACAGATGTCTAATTCATCATCTCGTCGGTATTGTTTACATTGATATACAACATATAGGGAATTTTATGTGAGACCAAGAACAACAATATGTGTACCTAACACACCCTTTAAATAGGTTGGGTTTCCTGGCATATTCTATCACTAGGGAAGATTTTTTGTCCAGTCAGGATGTTAGTGTAAAGCTCCTTCATATGTTGGTATTTCATATTCTATTCCTTCACTAAGGGTTTTTCTGTCGTTCTCCTTCAGTCAAAATAATTTTCCTGTCACTCGCTATGAAAAAATACTTTTTTTTTTTTGCCTATTCTGTCGCATAACGTGTGTTTGTCACATTCTTTGACACAGAATGGAGTCTGTCACACTCCTGGCACAAGCTGGGGGTTTCCACGACGTAATGAATTCTGTCTGCAGGTCTTATGCCTCACAAACTTACCGTATATTATTATTATTATTATTATTATTATTATTATTATTATATGACCAAAGTATCCAAGCTCACATTGTAGGTTTTATTGTAATGCATATATATTTTTTCTTCGTCAGTTTCCAGTCTTGTTCCGGTCACAAAAGGAGTTCAACCCTGCCAAGCTAGAGAGGCTTCACGAGGCGCTCGGCTGGCTCAACGACCTGCTGGATGGCCACGACTGGGCTGCGGGCAACACACTCACTGTCGCCGACCACAGCCTGGCAGCTACCGTGGAGACCTTCCTTGCTGCGGACATTGATCTCAGTAAGTATAACAACATCCTGTCGTGGCTGAAGAGATGCAACACCAAGATGGCTGGCTACAAGGAGATAAATTTGAAGGGTTCAGAGGAATTCAAGAAGATGTTCAAATCAAGATCTAGTTCATAAATTTATCAAGAAACATCCCTATGAACTTGAGAGCAACATCTAATACTGTTCATTGGTTCCAGGTTTCCATCCTTACTACTAGACACTCCGCCGTCACTTGACGAATATGTACTTCTTATGCTGCTACATCTAGCATGGGCCAGTAGGACTGCATTAATGCCTCTTTATTTTTATGTTTTTGAAGGAAAGTTGAGTTGGTCTTGAAGCTAAAGACATACAGCCTCTCGCGTTCTTCTTGACCTAGCATCGCCTTACCTTGTTCCCTTTATATAGCTTCTGTGTCATTCTTATGATTGTATTCTCTTGATAAAGCTCCAGGAGAGCAAAATGTAACCAGGATAAATGTCTCATTAGTTGCTCGTGTGTCCTTTTACCTAACATACTGTTGATAATTTTGATCAATATACATAAAGAAGAGAGTTATCAAGGGCAGCCATCATTCTCAGTATTTCAACAAGGGGAAGTGTGGAAATGAAAGAATATTAAAACTTTATTTGGAATATTAATAGCGGAGAGTTAATAACCGATGATAAGCTAATTGTGACTAATTTCTGTCGTTGTCCATTAAGAAAAGAACACATGATCGAACATGGTATTATAACTATAACACAAAAACCCTGCGAAAGTTTAAGAATGCCAACAGACATGAGAACTTTACACTTGATATAGACACGTACTCACTTTATACATATATGTAAAAAAAGTTGAAACATAATATATGACATATGATGTAACAATATATTCACAGGATTTATAGCAGTGTCATACGTGCCTGGTAACATACATAAAAATATAAGAATACCGAACCAATGACCACCCATGATAAAACACATCATAATTTAAAGCCTTGCCCCATCAAAAGAGCATTCGATCAAAAACAAATTTTTGCCAGGAAAATACTCATTCCCTCCCCCCCCCCATTTTACAGTCCAATCCTATCCAATAATTACACCATTAATTCGCGCAACCCTCGCACATTCATATCCCTATACTGAACCGGAAAATCTATAGCCCATTTCCTTCCATACACGATCTCATTCCTATACTTTGTGTTTTAGAAATGTTCAGCCCGTATTCGCACCTCCCCCTCCACCTCCCTCATAGTCCACGATATAGAAATATAATCCACCACTAAATACATGACCACCCTTCTCACACTATCACCCACTCCCTCTATATCCAAACTCAATGCTTTCAGTACCATTAACCTACCTACCTCCAACCATATCCAAAACTCTACAAAACATAGACGTACCCTCGCGATACCCTCACAAAAATACACTACATGATAAGCAGTCTTATCCCCTCCCCCCACACAAAACACAACATATGGACTGCATAACGCTCATCTGATACAATCGTACGTTAGTAGGTAAAATCCCATATAAAAACCTATATATAATTTACCTCACTCTGGACTTTATACGTAACTTACGGAACGCACCCCATATACCTGCCCAATTACATAAAGGAAAGACACTCTCCCCTTCCATCACCTCATAACCCCTCACAGACCTCCCTAAAACTCGCGCCAACACTTTTCCCGGTATGCTAACCCACAAAAAATATCTCAACATGCTCGTACATTCCTCCAGTTCCCTACCCTCCCACCACTGCCACACGTCTTCCATAACTTCACTCACTCTGACACCACAATCTCCACCCAACCGTATATAACTATGTTTCACATACATGCTCTTCAGTCTACTATACAATGGAATTAATCCTAAACCACCCCTCCCCAATGATGTTGTTACAACCGTTTGCTTCAGCCAATGATATCCATATCCCCATATAAAACGCATAACCTTCTTTTGCACCAACCGCACATCGTTCATTATCAATGGATAGACCACTGCCACATGCCACAATTTAGGATAAATGATTGTGTTTATAACAATGACCCTCTGATGGATCGTCAGCCCACTCGACCGTATTCCCCCCAACCTCCTCAAAACTCCTTGCTTCCTAGCTTCCTGCCCTGCCCTTCTGTATAAAACCCCACAGATTTTAATCTGGTCTGCTACCTGCCATCCATACTTATTTCCCAAGTTCTTTCCCACTCACGATCCAACCTCTGATAATTAGACTAAAAGCCATTAAAACACATACCTGTTGCTCCACTAAATATTTCAACGATGCAACCTACATTCCTTAATCCCTCCTCTCCCCCTACTAAAACCGTCGTGTCATCAACATACACAACTATACCAGTAGCACCCCAATGCCTTACTCCCCCTTCACCCACCCCGACACTAATCGTCCTATATAGAGGATCTTGTAGACACGCAAATAAGATCTGAGACATAGGGCATCCCTGTCTCAGTCTCCTGCCCATACTAACTACCTTCCCCATCTGCCCATTTATTTGCACTCGTTTTTCTGCACCTTTGTATAATGTTTCCACTCATCGGACAATTTCCTCACCAAAACCCATGTGTCTCATAATCATCCATAACGTCTCTCGCTCTACACAATCATAAGCAGCCTTCCAATCCAAAGCTAGCACACCCCCACCATCCATCCTATGATTATCTATATAGTCCTTTATCCTCCCATGTCCACTAAACATTGTCCGTCCCGGCACACCCTTTTGTCCCGTATCTATAACCCTCCCAATAATACTGCATAACCTATTACCTAAAACCCTAGCAAACAATTTATAATCACCACACATTAAAGATAAACCTCTATAATCTAGGATGCTATTCTGCACTTCCCCCTTTGGAATCATGACAACGACCCCTGTTCATTGCGACATACCCATCCCTCCCTTTACCATCATTTCCTTCAACAATAGCACCAAGCATTCCTTCAGGACCTCCCAGTTACTTAAACAAAAATCATTTGGAATGCCATCAGTCCCAGGCGTCTTCTCTACACTCATCCCCTTTACTGCCATCAACACCTCTTCACTGTCTTCTGATTCCAGGGTCCATGATATCCCCATCTCCAAAATATGCAAATCCTCCATCTTCCTATTACCCCCTCTCATACATATCTCAACCCATTTATTCGCAAAACCACTCATACCTTCAGTCGTTACTAACCGCTGCCCCACCGTGTACCCACCCATGTCCTGATGTACTTCCAACTTCAACATATTCATTACATTTTGCCGGATCTTTAATCACTGCAGAATTCAAGCTGATGGCTGATCACCCCATAAAACATCCCCCAACCCACCCCTTAATCTCTCATCATCAAATCTTGCATTCTGCATTTCCAGCAATTGCGTCCTCATACCCTCAATCTCCGAGTCCGGATATACTCCTTGACAACCTTCATAACACTGTTTTAACTGTCCCTCCAAATAACTCTGTAATCCATATTTCCATTGACAGGCCTCCCGTCCTTTTCTCATAAAAACTACGGATTCCCGGTTTAGCACATTGCTCCCACCACAGTAATATGTCACCTCCCAGCTTTCCCTTATTCCACTCAGTTTTCCACCATTCCGCAAAACTAAGTCCACCCTCCATATCCTCTTAACAAGTTCACATTAAGTTTCCAATAACTCGTAAAATGTTTTGACAAATCACCTGAACCCGCTTCCACAACCACCCCTCTATGATCTGAAAACACAACATTCACAGTTTCCATATGATGAACCTGTATCCCAGGAGAGACATAAATGCGGTCCAAGCGTGCTGCATATAAATGCTCTTCACATGTGTTCCACCGCCCATCCCTCCCCACTCACTACATCCACCAAGCCGACTCCCCCTAATACATCTGTAGGACCCCAACACACACCCAGCTCCCCATGGCTCCACATCCTTCCTACATATCACACAATTCCAATCCCCCCCCAAATAATGTATAAACAGGAAGCCCTCGCATATGATAAATGAGAACATCCCTCACAAAATCTTCTTTCATGCGCTATTGCTATCCGCAGGCATATAAACACTTACAAAACACACACGAACCCCACCCCATGTCCCGTCCAGCCTTACTAATCTCCCATCCCCCCCTTCTTCCCATTGCAACATTTGAAATGGACTGGTCTCCGCAATTAAAACAGCAGCACCTACCTTGAGTTTTCCTGTATACCCAACATAAACTTTGTACCCGTCAACCAAGAAATCCCAACCAAACTTAAAATTATGCTCTTGTAAAAAGATGACCTGTACCCCATATCGCCTTAAAAAGGCACTGAACATCCTCCTCTTCACATCGGCCCTTAATTCTTATTATTATAATAAAAAAGAAGTGCTAAGCCACAAGGGCTATGTAGCACTGATCGGCCCTTGAACCATTTATATTCAATGTTAAGCACTTAAAAACGCTATCAAGGGCTTACCAATCGATCGCTGTCCATGTGTTTCTTTACGTTTTTGCACAATATACTTTTCACTTTGCCTTTCCTAGTCTCGTCTTTCCCCTTCCCCTTCCCCTTCCCCCCCTGTGACTTTCTTAGGCACATCCATTGATTGCTTTTTACCCGATCGTTGTGCAGGCGTAAGG